ATCTTCAATTCTCCGTGCTACAGTGTTACGAGCCAGGCAAATGTTGGCAAACTCTTGCTTCTTCTCGGGACAGATATTCTCAACCATTTTCATAATGCACTCTCTAATAAATTTAACCCTCAACAAAAGACTTGCAATTTTTAGCAATTAACGTTGCCACCTCATAGCTTGCCTTTGTGGCATTTTCATTTGACTCACGGGCTCTTGTGAAAAATCGCTGTTGTGACATTAAAACCGCTTCAAGTTGCTTCAACTTTTTACTGCGGTCGCGCCCTGTTAGTTTGTCGTATGTGCTATGTCTCGTCTGGTAGTGTCTCTTGCCATTAAATTCTTTATAAACGGCCACAGTCTCTTGACATATAAGACAAACACAGTGATTCCGTATTCCAGTGAAAAAAAAATCCACTTTCCACTTTCCTGGAAACGGCGGCCCTCACTGTCAACTTTCCTTTTTTTATTTATAGTCGCCATTTTATAAATTGGCCAGAAGGGGAAAAGTGAATGGTGCAGTGCCAGAGTAAAAATGTGGCCCTTCTGGAAATACGTTTATGAGAGTAATATGGCAGGAATTACATTTTGGAGATCTGTTCCTTGTTCATATTTAACAAGCATAATTTTGCATGATTCTGCTTCTGTTTGACCTTGGCAGGTGTAAGCTGAGTTATTTGACACGGTCAGACTCTCTGGTAGCAGCTCACACACTTCCACCACTCCACAGCCTCACAGATTCTGCTAGGTCAGGGCCCTACCTACCTCTGTGTTATAACCTTTTTGTGTTGAAATTACATAAACCTATTAATATTCAAATCCCATAATAATGAAAACTCAAAAAGAAAAACAAAAACAAAAACAAAAACAAAATTTGTAATAAAAATTCAGAAAAAAAGTGTCCCACTAAAAATTGTCCCAAGAAACAATAATAATGTCCAAAAAATATGTCCCAATGTTCAAACTTTATCCTCCAGTAGGAAAAATCTCATTGCATCCCGTGGTACCTCAAAAAAACAAAATAAATAATCTAGTGCGTTACCTTTATAAATGATAAATATTCACTCCGTGCAAAACACAAACAACAAAACTGTGCAAAAACTGTATACATATATATCTCCTGTGCACGTATGGATAAACTGTGACCACTCTGTGAACACTGCAACACTGTGTATCCACCGACACCAATAGTATTAAATACTATTACCCTCTGTATCAATATACCAGCAGGGATCTTCTCATTCTCTCCAAAGAAATTTTCCAAGGTCCTCAAAAGACAAGAAGGGTCTCAAGGCTCATATTCAAGGTATAGGTAAAAGATTTTAATATCCACTTACATTAAAATTTCATATATCCAGCTCCCCACATGGTTCCTATGCAAGTTCTACCAAACAAATGCGGTAAGCCATGTGTTGATAACCCACAAAATGGCCGCGGCGACACTTCCGGTCTGCGTGCGTGCGTCACGACGTCACACCCTTAACGCGTTTCGTCACTTCCGGACTTCGTCTGAAGGGATACACATACACCTACCTACCTCTGTCCAGCTCCCCGCATCCCAGCCCATGAAATGGCGGTCTGTCTCACACCTCAAATACAGCAGTCCCGCGGAGGAGGTAGCTGGAGCTGAAGTCTCTGCTCATCAGCTGGGAGGGGAAGAGACACTTCACGCTGGAACGCCCTGACGTCACCACCCTCTGTCGCTCCCAGCGCGCCGCAGTCAGGCATGCGCACTGCCCTCTGCTCTCAAGCAGACTGTCTGCCATAGAAGGGAGGGCCACATTACACAGAGCAGGGAGGGCTGCTGGAGGGCCGTATTAAACCGACCCCCGGGCCGTAAATGGCCCGCGGGCCGGACTTTGGACATGCCTGCAATAAATCTTCCCTTCTGGAGAGGATGGAAAGATGTAATATTAATCTTGTACATGTTATTGGTCAGAGGAAATATGGTAACCCTCATGTGGACTTGGGTTGGAGAAGCTCCTCTGGGACAGAAATCCTTATCAACAATGTCCCTCAAGAAATCTAAGATAAAACTCAATACAATATTCCAACTGTCTGAAAAGTGGAATTAGTTTATCTTGATTGATTTCTTGAAGGAGATTTGTTGATAAATATTTCTGTCCCAAATAAAGGAGCTTTTCCAACCCAGTCCACATGGGGGCCACCATATTCATGTGTACAGGATTAATATTACATCTTTCCATCCACTCCAGAAGGGAAGATTTATTGTCTTTTATACAGAGGATTAATCCAAGCCTCGCTTTCAGCGTTTATCATGTTGTTGTCCATCATTAGTGAATGATCTGCTCTCTCCTTAGACCATAATCAGTGGGCAGAAGGCTAGCCCCTAGTCCCCTCCAACAGCCCCTGTCCTGGTTGGGTCTATCACAGGGTGCAGTGGTCAGAAGTATGTAACAATGTCTATTACAATGCTGGTAAGCAAGTGCAAGGCTCAGTTCTATAATTGGCATCAGTGGGCATACAAATTAACACCATAGTTGCCAACATTTCAAAAGGCACCTTGAAGATAATAAAAAGAAAAATGTTGTTTGCTACATGGGCCACCTGCTGGTGACCTTAGAGGGATTGGAAAGAAAATGCCTTTGCAGGCTTGTGGGTGTAGCCAGAAAAGTAGGCCTGATCAATAAAGTGGGTACTTCTTCAAGGTGTATGGCTGGTAGTGTGTGTTTCCTTTCTTTATTATGGGTTAGACAAAATAGGGCCTGGCCCTGGGATTTTGGGGGTAAAATAAGGCCTAATATTGGTGTAATTGGCAGCAGTTATGACCCCCAGCATTTGGTGTCGGTGCCAGCAAAATCCAGTATGTGCAAAACGTAAGTGTAAGGTCCAGCAATAACAGCCAGCATGGGTCAATTGCAGCAGAGATAACCCCCAGAAATAACCTCCAGTAGTAGGATGTGTCAGGATCAACAACAATAACCCCATTGCTGCTGTCAGGGCTCCCGGGTGTGACCAGAGGTGTGTGACTGACGCAGGGAAACGCAGACTTCAGATATGTTATAAACAATGTAATTTATTAACACTAACAATACAAACATAAACGCAGTGCAATACTAAAACATAACACAGTGCAAACAAACCAAACCAAACCACCCACAGATAACAGTACATACAATGCAAGCGTCGTCAGGCAGGCCGGGTCAATATCAATCGGGCAGGTAGGTACAGGGGGAGCAAGCGGAGAATGGTCGGGGTCACAAGCCAGGTTCAGCAGGTAGCGGGCAGCGTGGTACAGAGGGTCAGGCAGAGGAGAATGGTCAGACAAGCCAGGGATCAGGAGCAGGAGAATGGTCAGACAAGCCAGGGATCAGAGCAGGGTCAGCAGAGAATCAGACAGGAACAGGAACAGGAAACAGGGCCCAGGAGAAACACAACACCAAGGCAGAGTCTGCAGGTCTGAATGTCCCTTAAATACACCAGTATAATTAGTTCCAGGTGTTTGACTGGCTGCAAGGTTGAGTCTCTGATTGCTGGGAGCACCCGCTGGCCAGCCCTGGTACTGCAGCTCATAAGGCAGGTGAGTCCCACTATTGCTGGCCAGTCCATTCCTGACAGTACCCCCCCCTCAAGGAGCGGCCTCAGGACGCTCCAAACAGTCCTAGCTGGGCAAAATGTTCCACCGCCCGGGTCTGGTAACTGGCGGGATATCAAAGACTGCACACCGGGCAGGACTCCGGGCAGCGGCACACCGGGCAGGGGCACACCGGGCAGAGGCACACCGGGCAGAGGCACACTGGGCAGAGGCACATCAGGCAGAGGCACACCGGGCAGAGGCACATCGGGCTGGACTCCGGGCAGAGGCACATCGGGCTGGACTCCGGGCAGAGGCACATCGGGCTGGACTCCGGGCAGAGGCACATCGGGCTGGACTCCGTGCAGAGGGCTGGACTCCGGGCACATCGGGCTGGACTCCGGGCAGAGGCACATCGGGCTGGACTCCGGGCAGAGGCACTCCGGGCTGGACTCCGGGCAGAGGCACTCCGGGCAGAGGCACACCGGGCAGAGGCACTCCGGGCAGAGGCACACCGGGCAGAGGCACTCCGGGCAGAGGCACACCGGGCAGAGGCACATCGGGCTGGACTCCGGGCAGAGGCACATCGGGCTGGACTCCGGGCAGAGGCACATCGGGCTGGACTCCGGGCAGAGGCACATCGGGCTGGACTCCGGGCAGAGGCACATCGGGCTGGACTCCGGGCAGAGGCACATCGGGCTGGACTCCGGGCAGAGGCACATCGGGCTGGACTCCGGGTGAAGCAGCAGGCAGCCCCCAGGCGGGGCGACAGGCATCGGGCCCCCAGGCGGGGCGACAGGCATCGGGCCCCCAGGAGGGGCGACAGGCATCGGGCCCCCAGGCGGGGCGACAGGCATCGGGCCCCCAGGCGGGGCGACAGGCATCGGGCCCCCAGGCGGAGCGGTAGGCGCCGGGCCCCCAGGCAGAGCGACAGGTCTCGGGCTCCCAGGCGGAGCGACAGGTCTCAGGCCCCCAGGCGGAGCGGCGGGCGCCGGACCCCCAGGCGGAGCGGCGGGCGCCGGACCCCCAGGCGGAGCGACAGGTCTCGGGGCCCCCAGGCGGAGCGGCGGGCACCGAGTCACCAGGCACGACAGTGGGCTCCGAGTCAACTGGCAAGACTGCGGGCACCGAGTCAACTGGCAAGACTGCGGGCACCAAGCCAACAACTGGCGGAACAGCGGGCTTCGAGTCGTCTGGCAAGACTGCGGGCACCGAGTCGTCTGGCAAGACTGCGGGCACCGAGTCACCTGGCGGAACAGCGGGCATCGAGTCAACTGGCGGAACAGCGGGCTCCGAGTCGTCTGGCAAGACTGCGGGCACCGAGTCGTCTGGCAAGACTGGGGGCACCGAGTCACCTGGCGGAACAGCGGGCATTGAGTCAACTGGCGGAACAGCGGGCACCGAGTCGTCTGGCAAGACTGCGGGCACCGAGTCGTCTGGCAAGACTGCGGGCACTGCGAGCACGTCTGGCAAGACTGCGGGCACCGAGTCGTCTGGCAAGACTGCGGGCACCGAGTCGTCTGGCGGAACAGCGGGCATCGAGTCAACTGGCGGAACAGCGGGCTTCGAGTCGTCTGGCAAGACTGCGGGCACCGAGTCGTCTGGCAAGACTGCGGGCACCGAGTCGCCTGGCAAGACTGCGGGCACCGAGTCATCTGGCAAGACTGCGGGCACCGAATCACCAGGCACGACAGTGGGCTCTGACTCAATTAGCACGACAGCGGGCACCGGGTCATCAGGTACCGGATTGTCTGGCTCGACAGCGGGCATCGGGTCACCAGGTATGACAGTGGGCACTGGGTCACCAGGCATCAGGTCATTTGGCTCGCCAGCGGGCACTGCGTCATCTGGCAAGGCAGTGGGCACCGAGTCACCAGGTACGACAGCGGGCTCTGAGTCAATTGGCACGACAGCGGGCACCGGATCAGGTACCGGATCATCTGGATCAACAGCGGGCATCGAGTCAACTGGCCTAATAGGATCGTCAGGCTGGATCAGTTCATCATGCTGGGTAGAGGCATCAGGCTGAATGCAGGCGTCCGGCTGAGTAGAGGCTTCAGGCCGAGTAGAGGCATCAGGCCGCGTACAGGCATCAGGCTGAGTAGAGGATTCAGGCTGAGTAGAGGCTTCAGGCTGAACCACGGAAGGCAGGTTCACCGGTTTGGATACTGGCAGGATGGTATTGGTTGGAAAGAATTTTCGCTTTTTTCTGGTTTTAACTACTGGAGCACTGCAAGTAAACGCAGGTCTGCAAACGAATGGAGCAGCTGGAGACAGAGAAGAGCTGGAGGATGGAACAGGAGAGGGAGCAGTTTCTACAGAGGGCTTTTTTACAGGGTTAAAGGCAGGATAGGTGCAGCGAGTGGGAACAGGGTACTGACATGCGGTAGATAGCAGGGCAGGAGGAGCTGTTGGGGATGCAGGAATAGAGTTTTGAGGAAATAGATTAGAAGCAGGACTGGGTTTTTGTAAGCTGACTGAGGCTGGGTGCAACAAAATCTGTCCATGTCTGCAGTATGGGTTGAACAAAGCTGAGCTTACACAAAGCCTGTCTGACCAAAGACTGCACTGCGTTTATACAATCTCTTAGTACCTGTGGTGAACATGTGGAATAACGCTCCAGAAAGTAACCCACATCATCCTCTAATAACCACACCAGGGACTCTACCTGGTCTGCACTAAATGGTGGCAAAAATTCATCCCTGCATTCGGGGGTACCAGATGAAACCAACTCAGCACAAACCTCAATCAATGGCTGTACCTCAGAGAACTCTGTGCCCTGATCTACTAGAACATGAGCGAGCCGTATACATTCTAGCAGTTCATCCCGGGTATACTCCTTCAGAGTTTGATAAGCATACTCCCTTTCATCAAACACTAGCAGATATAAATACAACCTCATCCAGATCCATCCTTCCCATCAACAAACCAAGATGGCTTCCCTGTGCAGCCACTTCTGGTCAGGATTGGCCTTGGTGTAATGTCAGGGCTCCCGGGTGTGACCAGAGGTGTGTGACTGACGCAGGGAAACGCAGACTTCAGATATGTTATAAACAATGTAATTTATTAACACTAACAATACAAACATAAACGCAGTGCAATACTAAAACATAACACAGTGCAAACAAACCAAACCACCCACAGATAACAGTACATACAATGCAAGCGTCGTCAGGCAGGCCGGGTCAATATCAATCGGGCAGGTAGGTACAGGGGGAGCAAGCGGAGAATGGTCGGGGTCACAAGCCAGGTTCAGCAGGTAGCGGGCAGCGTGGTACAGAGGGTCAGGCAGAGGAGAATGGTCAGACAAGCCAGGGATCAGGAGCAGGAGAATGGTCAGACAAGCCAGGGATCAGAGCAGGGTCAGCAGAGAATCAGACAGGAACAGGAACAGGAAACAGGGCCCAGGAGAAACACAACACCAAGGCAGAGTCTGCAGGTCTGAATGTCCCTTAAATACACCAGTATAATTAGTTCCAGGTGTTTGACTGGCTGCAAGGTTGAGTCTCTGATTGCTGGGAGCACCCGCTGGCCAGCCCTGGTACTGCAGCTCATAAGGCAGGCGAGTCCCACTATTGCTGGTCAGTCCATTCCTGACAGCTGCTCAGTAACTGCTGTTGGGTTGTTCCTTCAGTACTGATTCTAATTTAGATCTGTGGAGTCGCCATTCAGGTTTTATCCTGTGCTGGGCCCTCATGAAGGGGGAAAAGTGTTGCCTCAGAAATGCATTGGTTCTCTTTTTATGACTTTTTTAATCAAAAATTGAGGTTATCTTGGACACTTTTTTTTTTTTTTTTTCCCCGTTTTGTTATGGCACTTCTACCTGTATTCCTATGGTTTGAGCTACTGTAGGGTGCACTGTGTACTGAACTGTGGGAGTCCTATAGCACACTCAAGAAGCCCCTTGGTGCCACCACTGCATTGGGAACACATGGTCAAGTGACAGCTGTCTAAGAGGAGATTTCACTTCACTTGGAGAGATTTTCACTTACTTCCTGTTGTGTCTCCAGATCAGGAGGGAAAATCACCTGGGGTCACTAAAAATTGACAGGGGTTCAGATCCTTCTCTTTATCATCCAAAATGTAAAAAAAAATGTTTAGACTAGAGATGTATATTAAGACTGCACTTTTGGAAAACTTGAAAAGTTTAGATATAGGTGAACCCAAACAATCAACTTTTTTATTTGATTCCTTTTGGTCTAGTAAATATACAATACAACTGAAAGCATTTTGATATATCTGTTCTATAAGTGCAAAAGAAATCTAGTGAGCTGATATCCGCTGCTATCATCTCTGCCCATTTCACTCCTGTGAACTACAGAACACAATCCCCTAAGTTATGAAGATGAGGAGAGGGAGAAGGTCTGTATCCAAAATTAAGACTAAGCACCCTAAGATTACAATGCTGCTCCTCTACTAATACAATTCAGTGAGTGAACAGTTTCCCCAAGACATTACATGTGTTGCTAGCAGGATTGTCAGGTTAAATTAGAGAAAAATAAACTGAAAAAGAGAACTAATTCAGCCACCATATTTAAAGCTAGATTCCAGACACTAAAATTTTTTTACTTATACTCCTTAATAAATACAGAATATATAAATTCACTACGTGTGCTCCAAATGCATTAGCAAGCCCAAATATTAACGTGTAAAATTATCAGTGACATCCTCACTAGACTGTTCATAGCTGTGGGAGGGACCCAGCAGACTCCACCCATTATGGGCTGCCTGTAGAAAACCACAGGAAGAGTGGAGACAAGACCAGTTATCCTACACAAGGAAAGAGAGCAACAGTGACCGGTCTTTATTACAGGAAGCTTCTGCACAGAGGTGAAGTTTCACACTGTATTACTGCACAGATCTAGAAGAAATATGACAAAAACACCAAGATTCAAGGAAGAATACACATGCCTCTTGTATTTAGACAAAATGTGTTTATCACGGAATTTATCTTTAAGCTGCACAAGCAATAGCTCACCCACTTTGGTTCTGTACATCCACAACCACGGTGGTAGCAGAGTGGTGAGAGTTTGCCTTCAATTCAAGTAATTGATAAAATGTGATAGCGGTGCACCAAAGTTAAAATTCTGTACTGAAACCGAAAATTCGGAATGCATTTGGCCAAATAACGAAATGGGTTTTTTATGAAAAAAAAATATTTTTTAAATATATAATTGTATTATGTTTGACTTATTAATTAATATCATCAATTTTAAATGAATACGAATTTATTTTAAGCACCTTTTCAGCCAATAGGCTGCTTTCATACTAAGCAGTTTTTGATGCACTTAAAGCGTTAAAGAAGCGTAAGAAAAGCTCAAGAAAAATGCATCCCTTTAAATTCAATGTATGTCTTCACACCAGTCCATTGTACTTCTCTTGTGGCGTTAAAAATCCTGCTTGCCGCATTTTTGGTGCATATTTGTCCAGTTAAAAAAACCACATCATAAACGCACCTCTCCATTGAGGCCTGGTTCACACCAAAGCATTTTTTAGTGCTTTTTGCAGAAACACACTACAGTCCATCCAAGAACAAGGAAATATCACCTATTAGTGAGGCCATATTCAAAAGGGGAGCCATCTAAAGGAATCCATATAACAAAATCAAGCACATATGACCTGTACGTGGACAGGTCCATAAGTGGAGGTGAGCGCAGTGGTGAACGGTGGTGGAAAACACTATGTATGTGTAGCACCCTCCTAGTTTAGGTAGAGGGAGTTAGACTCTAATGGTTAGACAGGGGCTATGCAGCAGCCCAGGATAAATAACCAGAGAGCGGTCAAATTGTGGTCAGGGCTGAGAGGCTCTGCAGGTCAACCTCTCTGGAATTTCCCTCTGCTCAAGGGCTGTAGGGGGAAAGCCCTAGAGGCAGTGGGTAGATCTGAGGAGTGGCTGGTTGCACTTTTGAGGGATTCTAGCCAATTCCCAACAAGTGATTGGCAAGGAGCTGGACACTCTTAAAAGTGTTGGAGCCTACTCAGTGGCAGAAGAGTGGGAGGGAGAGTTTGGGTGGAAGATGTGAGGCTGAAAGACGGAGGCTGTGAGGAGGCCCAGTGGGATGGGGCCTACCTGTAGGCCTGGAGCTGAAATGGAGAAAAGCTCAGAGCTCACCGATCCCCTGAGAGAGGACCACCTGTATGGCAGGGAAGCAGCGGCCCAGCTGATAGGCCTGGTAGCAGCCATCAACCCACAAGCGGTACAGGAGAGGATCCGAGTGAGTACACCTACACCCCCTGGGCAGATAGGGGAAGGAGCACTCTGGTGGAAAGCCAGGTTAGCCACCTACCAATGACTGTTCAACTCCTAAAGTGGCAGGAACTGGATCCCCTGTTCAGAGATACCTCCAGATTGCTGGGTAAAGAGGAGAACTTCATCTAGGTTCTGGGGTGGTACACTAAGGAGACACTGGCTAACTCTCCAACAGACTGTGCTACAGATACGGTTTGTAAATAGTTCCAGGAAGTTGTCCTCAGTTCATCTTAAACAACAAAACCAAAGCTCGAGGACTGATTTCTGACTCTGGATGCAAGCTTTTGTGAAGATGTGTGGCTGTACAGTACTGTAGGGGGACCCAAATCTTCTAGTGACTCCTAAGGGGGTAGTGCTACACATAATCTGGATTGAGCACAGGAGGTGTATCACAAATATTGAAGATCACATATATATTGATTGTCACCATAAGACTGACAATATATTTGAGGACATTTTTTTCAGTTTTACCTTTTATTTTTATCCATACGGACACTGTAGAAATGGTATATGCTTATAAGAAATTGTTGATAATGATTTATGTCATTACACTTTTCTGTGAGCTGATATACTGTATATTGTTATATACATGTGTAACGGCAAATGCTGGGTGCAATAACTAAAAGCAAGTCATATACACGCACACAATCAACATGTAGTCATACAGGTACTTTTAATCAGCATTTACACCATTACATATCCTACGCATGTGAAAGACCCTC